ACAAATTTAAGAAATTCGGATTTGTTTTGTCCATCATCACGTGACCCGAAAAACTCGTGGTCGCCCTGGCGGATTCTGTTATATCGAGGTTCGTTATATCGAGGTTATACTGTACATGACGCTCAATCAATGACGATATTTAAAGAACTAAATACTTGAGCATACTCTTTTTCTATTTTTCGTGATTTACGATATGCTACCTAAAACAATTTCTACTCAACGGTTGCCGAAACTTTAACTTTTGCTGCATCGACTTCTCCTTTTAATGATTTTACCAATTTAAATCTTTTGTTGCAACAGAAACAGAATCAATATATGGAATCATTAGCGAAAGTTGCATTATAGCAACAAGAAATAAAAGAAACGTTATTCATTACGGTTTGATTAAATGTTAAAAGATGGTATTTATTACGCTTATATCAAGGTGCTTCGAGAATTATATCGGTTAGAAATATTGATTAGAAATTTGTTGAAAAGTTATTATTTATTATTTTCGATATGTAAAAAATTAAAAGTTTTGAAGAAAAAAGATGGTTTGTATCTCGCTGGTTTGTTCATCAAAATGGTGGTTAATTTATTTAATTTTCTACTATATATTTAAAATTTTGCCTCCGATCCATTGAATAAGATACTTGAGAACCCCTAAATCGATTTTACCGTTTTTGGCTAACAGATCGACTACAATCACAGGAGTACATAAACACTAATCGTTGTAATACTTAAGTGCGTCATAATCAATACCATTGTGTAATAATTACATAAATAACACATTAGCGAGTTGACCATTTCGAAACAAAAAAAAGTGATAATATTGAATAAACCAAATCTACCATATCGATATTACCAATTGCTATCGCTGCTGTACTATTGTCATTATTATGCCATCTTTAACTCTTTTGGTATCAATCTTAATCTGATCTATCTGATGGTTACACGATTTAAAACTATATAACCAGGATATCGAATTTTTGAAAATATAATTGTAGCAGTGAATTAAGATTGAAAGAACAAAAGTACTTTTAAAAAAAGTAATGTTAATACAGATCATTGGAATACAAGACTGATTAAGATAATACGTTCATACATAACTCAATTCGAAGGTCACTAATTTATGTACTTTTTTTTGCGATATCGATCTATTGAAATTTGATCAAAAAAAATTAGTGAACAAAACAAGGCTATTTCAACAAAAGATCTTTTCATCCAAGTATCATGAAGCTTTGTTTACAAAGCGTTCAATGAATTTACTAATCTTACCGACTATCAAGAAAACAAGTTATGATGCGTTTATTCCGCAGACACCATCGTTGTTCATGCTTAATGTGACCAAGAGAAGAATGACTTCTATAGGAAAAACTCAAGGTAAAGTGTCTATTGATTTTGTATACTTATCTAACTTAAATAATTTATGTGATTTTTGCGAATTTTGTTTAGGAAAATTGGTTATTCTTGGTGAGATAACAATTAAATTACCTTAACCTTATTCGGAAACTTTAGTTGTTAAACCATAGTTTCTTTCTTAATCATCTGTATTAATCAATAATATAGGATCAGGATGGGCAGGTATGAACAATAAATTTATGAGTAACCGATCTGCTAGATCTATACATGAATGTCTAAATTACTTCTCTTAATAAATGATTATATTTCAGCGATTTATCAGGTAAATTAGTCTGTTGAAACCAGTTTTTATTAGTGGAAAAATTAGTTTCTGAAATGATTAGTGAAATTATTTGGATTCCTTACATCAAAATATATTAGTAATAGTAATTTATTTTGTGTGACCCATAAAAAGTTCAGGAATGACGATTTAGACATTCATGTAGAGGCTAAATCACAGTACATTTAATTATAGTTAAACCTTAAATGTTTTCAATCACAGGATTTAAACTACTTAAGGACATAGACACACAACATTATGAAGTAGTGGTTGTATCACCCAGGTGCGTATTATCGCTGCTTACGTCAGTAAATAAAGTTGCTTATTAAACACACTCATCAATTTATTTTATTTTCACTTTATAGGAATTATTTCGTTTTGTAGGTTGTTTAATTCTTTATGGAACCTTATATGATACATATTTTATATGACTGACTTTTTATGGCCAATATATAAGTACTCCTTTACTTGCTTCATCATCCGTAGGTACTTTAGAATTCAGGTGTGTTGTAGAACCTGTTAGAAGATATTCGCCAAAGATTCAGTATTATCAAGCTTACGCAGATTCAGTAGGTAAGTTACTTACCAGTTAGTTATATTTATGATTGAGAATATTTCTAAATGATTTTTAATCCTATATAAATTCGTTAATAAAGATCTTGAGAAAAAAATCATTCATTGTACTTCTAACTTGGACCATAAGAAAGATAAATTCGATATCCAATATGATACATTGGTTGTTGCAGTTGGAGCAAACTCCAATACGTTTGGTATTCCGGGAGTTGGTGATTATGCATTATTTTTAAAAGATATCTCTGATGCCCGTAAAATACGTCAAAGGGTCATTGAATGTTTCGAGCATGCAAGTCAACCTAATGTGACAAAAGAAGAGGCAGCCGGTCTATTACATTTTGCGGTTGTTGGTGGAGGTCCTACCGTAGGTATATTGATCATATTATTAATAGATTTGTAGTTCAATATCATTAACCCTTTTTACATTCCAATTACATTATATAGGGTGTTGAATTTAGTGCAGAACTGTGAGTTTAAATCCATGATTTTTCATGATGTAACATAATTAAGATTGGTTTTATAATTATCGACGATATTAATTGTGTATCATGTTCAGTCATGATTTCATTACAGAAGATCTGGCTCGTTTATATCCGAATTTGATCAATTCTGTCACCATGACTGTATATGATATTGCACCTCAAATTCTTGGATCATTTGACCAGAGTCTCAGGGATTACGCTATCAAGAAATTTACGCGTAAAGGTATCCATATACGTACAGGCGCACGGGTAGAAACAGTTAAAGAACGTCACTTAATTATAAATGATATTGGGGAAGTACCATATGGCATGTTGGTATGGGCAACAGGTATGTAAATTTAGTCTATGACATTATTTTATAATTGTGTCACTCGTATGTGTATTTAATCCAGTAATTTTGTAGGTTTAACGGATAATCCGCTGACACGAGCTATGGGTGAACACATAATGCAGGATAAATCGGCGAAAAGGTATGTCGTCAAGTTTGCTCTTTATTGCATAGTTTAATTATTTTTAATATATTGGTTTTTTTTTTTTGTAGATTATTGACAGATCATTATTTACGCGTTCTAAGTAAAGATAATGGCGTGCCGATAAATAATGTGTAGGTGTTCGTATTTACATTTAGTTATTGTGGAGTGTTTAAAATATATAATATTGTAAATATTTGTTAATAAGGTATGCTATTGGTGATTGCGCAACAATAAAAGATTACGATCTCCCTGCCACAGCTCAGGTGGCAAATCAAAAGGCGATCCATTTGCGAAAAGGCAGGTCAATTTCTATCGAATTGATATTGTATTAACTTTCCTAAATTTCCTTAGATTTAATTAATTAAATTAATAATTTTATTAAACCATTAGCTTTAACTCAAATTGCTAAAGATGGTGGGTCATTCGAAGGAGTGAAACCATTCAAATTTACAAATCTTGGAAGTATGGTTTATATTGGAAAGCATAAAGGTACTAGTTCAAATAATTACTAGTTTTTTTTTTTAAATATATATATTATACCGATTGTACCAATACATGCTAACTCTTTTTGCTCTTCAAGCTATGCTTGATTTGACATCAACAAATGTCAAAGCAAAAGAACATGGAACCTTTGCATGGTTATTTTGGCGATCGGCATATTTTACCATGACAGTGTCGCTAAGAAATAAGATACTAATGTAAGTGTAAAATATTATAGATTTCGTTTAAGTGTTATTTATGAATGAATCCTAACTTAAATGATGATCTTTGTATTAAATCAGTCCAATGTATTGGTCAGTAAAATTTTTAAATTATCACTTACCATTATTATTTAAGTTCTAATCTTTAATTTTAAATAAATAGGTTCTTGGCATGGTGTCTTGGTAGAGATATTAGTAAATTTTAAACCATGTATAGAAAAAAAATCAATAATTGAATGATGTAAGTAAACCCTCACATGATTATTCTTAAATATGGATTTATGGATACTTCCATTCACATGATTATTCTTAAATATGGATTTTTGGATACTTCCATTTACATGATTATTCTTAAATATGGATTTTTGGATTCTTCCATTCACATGATTATTCTTAAAT